AAGTCAATGTCTGTGAGGTTTCTGTTGTAGCAGCCCTTAGTGACTAAAACAGAAGATTGTCCTGGATCATCAAGGTGGGTCCAATGTAACCACATGATCCTTAAAGAGCAAAAGTCAAGTACTACGGAAAGAAAGAAGAGATTCAAAACAGGAGGGGCGTTCAATTTGCTAGTGAAGGCTTTGGAGATGGAGGGAACCACATGGGAGTCCCAAATGAAATGAATTCTGCCAACAACATGAATCAGCCTGGAAACAATTCTCCCCCAGGTTCCAGTTAAGAGACTAGGACAGTCCACACCTTGATTTCAGCTTTCTCATCTACTGACCTGTGAGGCGACAGACTTGTGGTGTTTTCAGCTGCTAAATTCATGGAACACTATTTCAGCAACAGTACAATTCTAAAGACATAGAAACACATTTAGTGCAAAATATTAACGCAATGAGTTACTCCAAAACGAATTCCATTTTGGTCTCTGGCAGTAACAATTTTCCTAGGGTTCAAGTTTAACCTCCTTTGTATGTTGTTGCACAGTGTATCTGATATTTTAACATGCAATTCAACAAAAATGAAATAAACATCAGCATATAGGAAGAAGTCAGTTTTTCCTTCTGTGTTCCTTCAGTTTTTGTCTGCTGTGTGTTTCTTCCTGTGAGTCTTCTTTACTTTTACACAGAACACTTAACTTCTGACACTTTTGGTCACCAAGCATGAGGAGATTTTCCCCACAGCAAGCAATTATCCAGTCATTAGTAGGATGTTGTGCAATTTGATTCAATTTAACACTTCCTAAAAATAGTGTCAAATCCCACGGGTTTAGGGCTTTTCCCAGAAACTGCTCAAAGCCCACTCCAGGTGCTAATTAGGCATAGTGGGTCCACATGTTGGCCACAACGTCTGTTTGACTCGACTACAAATCTAAGGTTCCAATGACCTTCTCCTTGTGTTCAATTAATTTGCTAAAGTGGCTCACAGATTTCAGAGAAACACTTTGGCTTGTCAGTTTATTAAAGGCGGTGATAAAGGATATTGATGTACAGACAGATGCAGAGACACAAAGGGCCAAGCCTGGGAGGGTCTCCAGAGTAGGAGCTTCTGTCCCTTTTGAGTAGGGGTGCATCGCCTTACTGGTGTGGATGTGTTTGCCAACCTGGATACTCTCTGAGCAGCATACTATTGGGATTTTTATGAAGGCTTCATCATGTAGTCATTATCAGTCATTAACTCTGTTTTTAGCTTTTCTCCCTTTTCAGGAAAATGAGGAGGCTGGCCTGAAAATTCCAAGCTTCTAATCATGGTTTAGTCTTTCTGGTGACCAGTCTTCATCTTGATGCCATTCAGGGGCCCACCAAGAGTCACTTTATCAGAACAAAAGATAATCATAGCACCCTGGAAATTACATGTGTTTCAGGAACCCTGTGTTTGGGTCAAAAACCAAATATAGAACAAAAGATGCTCTTCATGTTCTTATCACACAGAAAGTTACAAGGTTTCCAAAGGCCATTTGTCAGGAACTGGGAGCAAAGACCAATATATATTTCTTATTATCTCTTAATCACAAGAACGGTCTATTAATATTATTCTTTTCTGGTTCAAGTTGGTTACAAAATATTATCATAGTGGACTGTCACTCCAATGAAACTGCTTTCCTCAATCAGTGGTCTATGATGTAAATATTTTATTGTTGGTAGAAATAGGTCTATCTTATTTACTGAAATACCACAAATCATCCCACAGCCATCATTAATGAATCATCTTTATTGAAACACTCCCTGTATATACGTTTAAAGAGTTGAATGCCCTCTATCATAAACATCATGGAATGTGGATCAGTGCTCATGTCGACTTGTGCACTTGTGGAATATCTTGCTTATGTGAGGTAGGGGACTGCAGCCCAACCATGATGGCATTCTCACTGTGGATGCACGTTTCCTGCTATGGACTGAATAGCTGTGTCCTCCAAATTCATATGTTTAATCTCTAATGCCCATTATGATGGAAATTGGAATTAGGGCCTTTGGGAGGTGATCCGGTTTAAATGAGTTCATGAGAGTCGAGCTCTCAGGTTAGGATTAGCACCCTTAGAAGAGAGTGGAGCTCTCTCTCCCTGCCAAGTGAGGAACAGGGTGATGTTGGCTGTCTGCAAAAGAGGAAGAGGATCCTCACAAGACATCAAATATGCCGACAATTTGATCTTGGATCCCCTAATGTTTGGGTCATTTTGTTATCGAACACAATATAACCATCACAATTGACAAATCATCAATAGGCAGTCGATTTAATAGAGTCCATGTACAGATACCCAGAGTGATACAACAATGTCTTCATAAATCTAGGATTCAGTCATGGTACAGGGATTGCATTTGATTTTCTGGGCTCTTTAGTTTCTTTAATCTAGATCGGTTGCCGCTGCTTTGTCTTCAGTGATCCTGACAATTTTGAAGAATGCAAAAGAGTTGTTTGCAGAGTGTCCTTCAGTGTGGATTTCTGTCATTTTGGCTCTTATCCTTAGACTCAGTTACAATATTTGAGTAGAATGTCTACACACAAGCGATGTTGGGAACTTCTTGTTACATCAACTCAGAGGGACAGATAATGATTATTTTTTATTATTAGTGGAGGCTAGGACATGCACCATGTATATCTGGCCCAGGGGAAGGATGGCACATTCAGGAACCTGCGTACCTGCTGTCTGACCAGATGCCCCACTGTTATTGGCTGGACCTTAGGACTCTAGATGTCTACATGTATGTTTTGTCCTGAAAGCAATGTGCTTTACACCTGGCCACTTGTCAAGGAAAGCATCACCTTTTCATCAGGAGGCAGAAGCAGGAGAGAGGGGAAAGCCTAGGTCAGGGCCTTTATTGAGGTTTCCTGGGAAAGGATAGGATGAATAGCTTACAAGTGACTAGGATGAATATTTCCCATGGGCCTTGGACTACAGCGGCTTGCCAAAATGTCTGTTACTTGGTCCTGTGTTGATTTAGAACAGTGAAAATATTGGCTTGTTGTGGGAGAATTGGATCAGAAGATGGATTGAGGTGTGAGCCCTATGTTGGTTACTGTGCATATGAAAGCAGTGCCTGGTTTAGCCCTTTTCTCTTCCTAAAATTGGCTTGTCTTGAGAGAGGCAGTCTCTCCCTTCTCAGCAATTCACAAATGGCACTGTACCAGGAAAACAGAAAATAAGAAAATATAGTAAAAAACAATTGGCCATGTGATGAATAGATGCCATGTAGAAAAGTGCAGCGTCTAATAAAACAATAAGGGCAGAGAGTTTGTCTGAAAGAAAGAAAACAGAGTTCCTGTGCGACCCACTTTCTCTTTGTTAGAATGACTTCACCTCTTTCTCTCTTTCTGCATCTCTATTACTACACTGGCCTAGGCAATTCCACATCCCCAGTGAGGCTTTTGTGGTGACATGAACATGAGAGAGAGAGAACTTACAGGGAAATGAAATGTCTGGCTCTCTGAGGTGGCGTTTTGGATGTTGAATGTATCACTCATCACTACCTAATGCTCACAATACGACGGAGGCTTCTAGTCACTATCACATCCATTCCTGGCCCCTCTCTGGGTCTGGAGCCACTTCTTGAACTGGCCTTCCTCCCATGTTTGCAAAGATACCTAAACTCCACTTTCTTCCTAGGACTGGTCCAGTGACTGTCTTGGTCTCCTGAGTTTCAGTATCTCTACTGTTCCTGAAGAAAGTTCTGGTTTTAAGTGGATTTGGACTATGTCAGAGAATAAATATGGCTAGGATTTTTGTAAAGGAATTTGCAGTTATTTCTTTTCTGTGGCAAAGTTTCTGATACATATGTCTGACCATTTCTCACTGTTTAAGTTCTGGAAGACCTTGCCCCCTTGCCCTTTCCATGGGAGGGATGGATTATTTGCTCACAAAGTTTTCCACTATACATTTGAATGAGGCAGGGGGAATCTTCTCTCTGGAAGAGCAGATCCTAGTTCTGTATTCTGCCCTTAATATGCTCTCGATTTCAATTTTCTAGGATAATGTCTCCTCCCTTCAGTAGTGCTTGAATTCCTATCCTGGATGTTTGGAGTTTGCATTTTTGGGGTAGAGTGATCCAAGGACACCTGGCCTTTCCTTCTACCCTAAAATTGGCCACACATCACCTGGTAGCTATGATATTTAGACCAAACACAGTCTGGAGATGTGGCATGAGACATTAAAAGCAAAGGTTTCTGAGGCAGGGGCATTGCAGTGGGAACCTTTGAAGCTAGCTCTGGGGCTCTACCTGCAACTTTAGCTTCCACTCACCAGCAAGACCTATTTCAAGGAATGACTGTCCTAGTACACAGGCAACCAGCATTCATGGTGCCAGACACCATAGTGTGGTTACTGGAGCCCTGGTAGGTCTTGATCCTCATTTAACTTTTGGATCTTTTCCACTATGTCTCAGCACTCATCTTAATGTTGGTTGAGAACTAGGGGACTTCTCAAGCTTAAGTTTCTTTTTGAGTCTCCAAAATTTTTGTCACCTTGAGCATTGTTATTCCTTGATTAGCGTCTTTCATTTTCCTGTGCAGCAAAAAATCTGTTCTCTGCCAAAAAGGTGACACTACCCCCATATTCCTGTGTTTTTCTTTTAGACAAACATCTGTGAACTACAATTCATATTAAAAGCTGCTCATGCTACTTACAATGAGACATTTACACGCATTGGAAACCCATGGAGTATTGTCTTCGAACAATTTCCAACACTCATTTCCTAACTTTATGTGCTCTGCCTAAAATTCCCATAACTACCTCACTTGGTCAACCACTCTGATTCATCCCATTGAGAGGCTAGGCCCAAATTCGTTCAATTTGTGTCATGTAGAATTGGATTAAGACTACTCTCATCAGGATATTAGTCATCAAAATGAGACAAAGCTGCTTTATTACCCATCACTATGCCCACATATGTCCCATATTCAACCAGCTGATGAAACACGGATACCCATAAAGGTATTCCTTAGAAATACAAGTAGCTTCTCCTTAGATTCTGAGTTGATATTTCAAGTGTGTGAATGCATAAAAAACTGAACATTGTGCCAAAACAGTCAATTTACATTTTTTGATAAGATTAGGAGATTTTCTATTCCTTATCCACACAGGGCAGAGCCAGGATACACTGGAGTGACGGCTCATGAGCAGAAAGGGGCTGACAGAGGGAAAACACACAGAAATTAAGGAAGCAGTGTCCACCAACCACGAAGTGGGATTATAAATTAGAGAAATACAAAGTTGAAAGATGGAAGAGATGGATTGAAAAGATAGAAAAGTGCTCACCAGGACAATGATGCTTAGGGTGGCTCTGAACTCAGGGGAGGATCTGGGGGTACTATTTTTCCTGTGAATATGTTGGACACGCTGCTTGTGCCTGTACAGGGTGAAAATGATGGAACCACTTGTCCAGATTATGATCACAGAAAAGGAAACTTCAGGGAATACTATTAATGTTACATATAATGAGCCTGTGACTATCTTATGATCATTAGCAAAACAGAACTCAAAATCTCTTGTCCTTGTGATGTTCCTCAGGCTCCATTGGCTAGACACATACAACGCATACATAGGAAAAATTAAATTCACAAACAAGTAGAGGATCCAGCAGAGGGAAATGGAGTAGCCAACGTACTCTGGAGCTCTGACTTTAAGAGCCTTCCAACAGGAATTCATGGGGCTGATCATGATGATCTGGAACACACTCAAGAGGCAAGTGGTGCCAATGGATACACCCCTGCCCACTCTGGAAACATACAAAAGAAGACTGCATCCAAAATCAGTGAAAAAGTGTTTCAGCCCAAAAGCTGCCATTGTCTGGGAGACTCCTTCAGAGAGAATAATCAATGAGTTGGCCAGAGTCAGGTGCTTGAGAATCAAATCTGTAGCCCTCCACTTGCATTCTGTGTGGGAAAGGAACAGGTAATGGTAAAGAAGAGAGAAATTGCCCAGAATTCCTACCATAGTCTGTGACCAGAAGATAATTGCTATTGCCCACTTCCTGGAGGATATTTCATCTTTCAACATGTTTTCCTTTAAATTATGGCAACAGTTATTCCTCTGAGCCAAAAGGTCATTGATGATTTTTGTCACCAGCAGTAAGTTGCATTGTGTGTTCCTGTTCGATTGCCAAGTCTTCATAGGCAGGAAGAGATGGAGAGATAACCGGTATATTTCTCAGGAAGGTCAGCACTAAAGATGAAAGGGTGTTAAAGGGGAAGTAATGAGAAGTGAGCCATATGGAAAGAAAGCATAACACAATATTTTCAGAATAAGGTGGATTTTGCTAGCAATAATGGAAAAAGGAAAAACCTTGAACACTATCCACATCGTAAAACCAGTCAATGCTGAATAGATTGCTCACCTAAATTTTAAAGATATAATGTAACTTTATTAAAATAAATATTTCTATGATCTACTATAAACAACACAGAACATAATAATCATACAGGTGAAATGACTTTGGATTATATTGACATTAATGGCCGATTTTCATCAAACCACACACACACATGCAAACATGCACACAAACAAAGAAATGTAACTTGTAACAATCACAATGAACTCCTAAGGACCATAAAATAGAATAAACAATGGGAAAATTCTTCCAACAGAAACAACTGTTGATCCAAATATTCAATTTATAGATAAGCGAGATGTTTAATGAAGTATTGTGAGGACTAGCCTGCAAATGTTCTCTTTCCCAGGAAAGAAAGCACTCCAGAGAAGCTTGGATTACAGCATGGGTATATACTCTTTCAGGACAAAGAGCATAAAACAGGGATGACAGGCATACAATTTATTTTTCCAAGTCACAAGGAAACATTTTGACACAGTTTAGCACATATGCAGCAGGTCAACTTGACCTTGCTTCTCTGGGAAGAAAAGCTTACTTTCAAAGAAGAACTGGTATTAGCGTCAGAGAAAGGGAGCTATTACATCCCTATCTTTAAAGAGTGCATTCTTTGACATGGGAAAATGCGAGAAGCAGATGTACACTGCATGTTTTCTGGGCCAGAAGTCAGGCTGCTCTGGGAAAAACAAATTTGAGGCAGAATCAGATTTAAATAAAAATGGCTTCCCCATATATCTCAACATGTGAAAACATGTTATTCTTATTCCTTGTCACTTGAACGATAGGTTGTTCAATGGACGATACATGTGTAAGAAATATGCAATGTCCTCAGTAATCAGTGAAATTCAAATATAGCTCTACCTGGTATCATCAAATAGCACTCAGAAATCTAAAATGAAAATGACAGAAATATCAAGTTTTGTCAAGAATGTGAATAAACCAAGAATCTCATATACCATTGTTGGCGGTTAAAATTGGTGCAAACATTTGGGAAAGTGATGTGATAGTGTCTATTTTAGGTGACTAAATATAATACTGTGTTCCAACAATTCCACTCCTATGAAGTTACTCAGAGAAATCTGTACAAGTATCACCAAAGACTACTGACAAAATTTATAGCTAAGCAGTACTATTACTCAAAATAGCCTCAAATGCGAAAGTACCACTTGCCCATTAACAGTAAAATGAATCTATTCACCATTTGATACTCATACAATGGAGTCCTATATAGCTGTGCTAATGGCCAACAATAACATGCACCAATATAGATAAATTCCCAAAATAATGTGGAATGGAAAAAGGATCATTATTAAATATTTCATGCTTTATGATTCCCATTTATATAAAGTACTAAGCAGGCATAAATGATCTAATCTTTCAATTGTAAGAGAGTAGTAAACTTATTCCCAACAATTCCAGTCCCACAAATAAATCCAACAAAACTAAACCCTTGGGAATAGTGACGTAGACAGGGCACAAGAGTGTTTTGGGGGACTGACAAGATTCTGTTTTCTGATCTATGTATTGCGTACAGAGGTTGGTCATTTGTGAGATTCTGCTGAGCTCTTCACTTATATGTGTATGGGTATTTAATTTATAAAAATACACTCTCCCACTAAGAAAATTATTGAAGGTTGGTGGGAGAAATGTTGTTCCTGACTGTGTGTGACCTGCTGTCTGTGTCTCTATACAACACTTATAGATATACAGACGCAGATGATAAGCCCAACAATGAAACATCAAGGAATAACAATGTGGAATAAAGTGAGTTTGTGATTTCGGGAGGAATTCAGCAGAGTAGTATGCTAAATATTTGTTCTTTGTGATGATGTGCTACTCCATTTGGCAATCATATGCAAAGGAAAAACGATATTTATTGATATATATAGGGTCCAGCAGCAGAAAGGAAAATGCCAATATCTGTGGAGATTTATTTTAAGTTTCACCCACCTGGAGTTCATGTGGTTGATGGCAATGGCAAGAGACAGGTAAGAGGCAGGTGGTGCCAATGGGCAGACCCTGCCAGCTGTGGGAGGGTAGAAACAATTTTCGCTTAAAAAACTGAAGAAATGCCTCAACTAAAGCTGCCATTGTCTTAGGGACACCTTTAAAGGGAAGAGTGACTTCGGACTATCCTCTGAGATAAGCAGACCATTCTTATTGCCAAATCCCTGGGGGCCATTCTTCCAGTTCGCAGTGACTGATATTTGTGTTCAGAGTCGGAGGATCCTGCACTGGAACAGGTGGCGTGCACTAGCTTTATCACATCAGCTGAAATCTAGTGTACTCTCTGAGAAATTCTTACGTAAGTTTTGTTTTGTTAAGAGGCTTCCCACAATGAAAATGTGTAACCTTTCAGTATCACTTCTAAAGTGAGAATCACTGCTACACTGCCGTACGTGTGGTACCTTCTTTGATTTTCCTAACTGCATCATGTGGGCACTGGCATTATTGTCTTTGTAATGATAGGGAATCTTAGGTACGCATAGGTTACATGATCTGTCTAAATTCATACACTGGGTAGGGGCTGAGTGGAGATATGAACTTGGCTGCTCTGGTTGACAAGATAGTACCCTAACCCTGTGTTACACTAGCAAAACATATTAGCTGTGCCTTCCAAAAATCCAGACCTGCATTTACTATTTCCCTTTATACTTTTCCAATTTATTTCATATTATTTTTATTCTATTTTATAATTTTGGCTGTAAAATCTTCCCTTTTTGGTTTAACAGTTTTTTCTCTAGGTAAAAACCAATATGAATAAAGTTTTAGAGAGCATAATAAAGTGTAAATGCAATAATTACAGGCTAATCCCAAAGGAAACTTCCCTTTATCCACTTTAGATTTAACAAATGCAAGATTCACTCAATGGTAGCTTGGCAACAGAAAGTTCCATTTGCAGTCATGCTAGGAATAAAAACAAAATGGAAACTGTCAAATGAATCATTGAGCAATGTTACCTTGCTTCCTAAACTGTGCGTGAAATACTAATATGTGTTAAAACAGTGTTGGATAAATACTAAGTTATGAAGAATTTTGGTTTAAATGCTTAGGTATACATTAATACCTCCTTTAAGCAAAATTATTAGCAATGAGGCAAAATTTGTGAAAGATAGGAAAATAAAACAGAACGTCAGTTGGATTCCCTAAAATTCATAAGTTGAAATCGTAAGAAAATGAGTTGTGAGCTTGGAATTGATGATGAAATATTATTAAACCAGAGAAAATAAGACAAGATCCATTTGGTCCTGACAACTGATTTCTGAAACCCATAAAGATACTTTGTCCTTAAATGCTGCTTCTCTGACTTCAAGAGGGAAGGTAGTCCTACACTAGTCACCGGACGTTTTCAATACATTCGATGACTATCTCCAGTAAGTTATATACTCACAAATTCAGACAGATAAAAAACATGTTTCAACTCCACAAAAAATCACATATTTGGTTTCTCTAGAGAATTGGAAAAATTGTGACCGTTCTATCCTAGCCTGTATTATAAGCATGAAGGCATTATAAGCACACCTCTACTAATTAAAATCTAATCTGTGATTCCTCTAGCATAATATGAATAGCAGAATGATTTCATAACTACAGTCCTAAGAACCTTCATGGTGATTCTTCCTTACTATTGAGATTAGTCATCAATAATCATCCTTAGTGAGGATTTCATTAAATTACATTAGAAGACATCAATATGGTTTAGGATCCTCATCTGTCTAAATAAGCTCAGCTGATACCCAAGGAATTGTTCTGCTTCCCTGTCTAGCTTTGCTACTTTATCTGCTTCTACCCCCTGAAACCCTTTTTCAGACATGAATACTTAGACCTCCTATTACAGACTCTGGTTTCAGGCTGATATAGAAACTACTCACCTGACTCCTTTCTGTTTCCAGGACAGTTGGCTCGGTGTGATGGTCATGATGGGGCAGTATATGTGTGGGAGGGAGGCAAGAAGACCCTGAGATATGGCTTTGTGACTCTGTGACCTCACCTCCCCTGAGAACTGCAATTATCATTTCACTCGTGGTGGCAGTGGCAGTGCAGTCTTGAGGAGCTGAAACTACTTCTGAAAAACTTTTCCCGAGTTGCTAATTACCAAAACCAATTACAAGTTTTGTGAGCATCTCCAAAGAGACTGTTGATGCACTTGGAGAGACTTTCACTCTGTTATGATCCATGGTGGTGACATGGTCTCATATGGAGGGAGCAGTAAATATTGATGTGTGACTATGTGGGACTGGCAGCTGGGTGTGTGTGTCTCACAAGATTCCCTGATTCTCCAAGAAGTTCTTCCACTAAATATCAAGTTCATTCTTAATATTCAGACTCCTAAGCTGCATCATGATTTAAGTATTTAGTAGATACCTGGAATCAGAAAAAGTCTAGGCAGAATTTCTAATGAGATAAGAGTAAAGAAAGAACATGCTAATAGTTGACATTAGAAATCATTGAACTCATTTATATAACTCCATGCAAATTAAATTGGGCATGATGAGATGGAAATTTTCTAGGAAAGTATACTTCAGCAATGTTGACCCAACAGTGATATGAAGTGCAAACATTGAATTGTCCATAGGAGGAAGCGTGGTGTTTATGAATTGTCCCTCAGAAATGAGGCATCGGGATCAGATGGTTTAGGAGAGAGTTTCTCCCTTTCTTTGAGGTATCAGAT